TTGAAGATCCAAGCTAAGTCAGAACCTTAGCAGCTAAAACAATACTTGTTTAAAGCAACTAGACATCCGGTGACTAAATTCATCATAGAAATCAACCGGCAAAGACTGATTAATCCCAGAAGGATTAAATTACAGCCAGTTAACCTGAATAAACTAAGAGAGAACCTAGACGTCATAGAAAAAACCGCATGTCTTATCGACACAAGCCGATTCATCTATTCTCCAACTTAGAATAAAACTGAAAACTAACTCAAACGTGGTCAATGACTGTCTGACATTCAGCCCATATGCTCAATGGACGGTTGTCCGCTTGGTTTGGGGTAATCAGCTTGGTAATTGATTAGCCTAGGAATTTTTAAAACTAAGCGTACATCTGTCCAGGAGCAAACACTCCTATTACATCCACAGGTATTAGGCTACCTGGCAAAATATGTGCAAGTAAAAAATTGCAGATTGAAAAATTAATGCAAGTTGCAAAGATTGGCAAAACCGACACAATCGGCAAATCGTAATGTAAAAACCGACCAAAAGGCCGGGATAGAAATTTTTAAACGGATATGCATCCGGAGAAAAAGAAGATTGTTAAATACATTGAAGTATTCGGCACGCAGGCCAGAAACAAAGGCAGAAAAATTTAAGCTTTAGGTGGAGGCCTCGGCTGGCCCTTGCCGGATGGGGGTCTGTCTTCAGGTTGCCCTGGTTGAGCTTGATCAATCGGCTCTTGCTCTTCCTCCTCTGCACCATCAACAGCCTCCTCAACAAGCTCCTTTTGGATCCACTCTTGGAAGGGCTTAGGCTCCGGCTGACCCTCATCCTTTGCCAGGATGACAAGATCTGCGTATCTATAGGCCAACTCCCAAATGTTATAATCCGCCTCTGGATACACAAGCGACCAAGCCATTCTCATCCGGTCCTCGCAGTCTTGCTCATTCTCCTCAATGAGCTGGCTCTGCTCAGCCTCTAGTGTAGCCTTGAAGTTGTCCTTGGAGGCAGCCATCTCCTTCTGCAGACGGTCGACGTTTGATTTAAGAGTGGCGTTCTCCTTCTTGGTCTCCTCTAAATATTTGAGACCCGCCTAAGCATTTTTTAGCTCTAACTCAGCATTGTCGCGCTCCGCCTCTAGATTTTAGGCCTTCAGATTAGCCTCATTGAGGGCAGCCTGGAAATGTTTAATGGAGTCCTCCTGCAATAGGAGCTGAGCTTTAGTTCCAAGATCATGAATTCGCATTTGATACTGAGCAACGTCAGTGGTATCAGACGCATCTCTCTTGGCCCGCCTTACCTCTTCCTGCTTCCAGCATACAACTTTTTTAGCTCCTTTACTCGTAGCATCATCTGTATAAATGCAAACAGTGTTAAAAAAGCAACCGACAATACACTTGAAAGATGCGGTCATCATTGAATGTATGAATCCCGGGGATGGCCTCCTTGTCCTCGTTGGGGACAGCCTTCAGCATGGTCTTGGAGTACTGCTGTATATCCGGCCACCGAGGGGATTGATCTGTACCAGAAGTTAGATATGGTGAGAAAGCTACATATGCGCCACCAACAGATCACTGGCTGCCTGAAGATCCTTCTGATTGAATTTGGGTATGTGACTTGACCCGCATGGGCCAACCCAACTTAAAGGGAGAGTTAAAGGGGTCAACAGTACCTTGGGGATAAGGTCGAGGGTTTGAATCCCCTACAGCCACTGCAGAACCGCTTGCAGCTTTGGGTGGCTGGCCACCCTTCAGCACCTCAGAGGCACCCGGCTAGAAAGAAAGGTCAATCCCCAGGCTGACATTTCTGATACTTTTTCCCCCAACGGTCAGACGGCTTTTGTCAAGCAGAACCCTGGAAGCCGTTTGAGCAGACGTTGTTTTTCTGGATTTGTTGGAGCTGGTGACATCGTCACCCGACCTCTGTCTGATTAACTTGGAAAAGGATCTAGAAGCTCCCTTGCCTCCATCCTGAAAAACGAACCAAATGTTAAGGATACAGTCAAAAACAAGAATTAATCATACAGCTGGCTCATAACCGGTTATATACATTAATAAGGAAAATGGGGAAGAAGTTGGGGCAGGCAGCATATACTTGGCCTTTAGCCACCAGTGCGGCTTTCTTCTTTTCCGCATTTTCCCTACGGATGTCTGCTATAGAACGAGTTGGCGTTTTGTTTTCTTGGAGCATCCTTTGGCGTTTTCTGCAAAAAGAACCGCCTGTCAGACCATCAAGTAGGCAAAAATAAATCATAAGTCATAATAACTAAAGACGGCATAACATTGCCGGATGCATGCTATACATACGTCTGTCAAACATGGTGCTTAAACCACAGGCGGACAAGAACCCCTCGTCCTTTAAGAACTCATGTTTAGGTACCCAGTATCAACTCCCCAGATGAGAGAGTGGTGGTTGTGAGTTCAAAAAACCCTGCTTCTATTAATTTTTTCATAGTCCTCATCCGGGACTTGTGGAAGTTTACACTTCTGCCCCAGCAGATCCGGCTTCTTATTATAACAGCGGTATTAAAAGTTCTCCTGTAGTTTAGGGGGAGAAACCAGATAGAACCGGTTCTTCCAATCAGACCACTTAGACGGTTTGTCTAGGGTCATCAAATACTTGGGGTAGATGGTTAATGTGTACCACGCCCTCCAACCGCCTGGGCTACGACTCAGATAATGCGTATGGGCAAAGGCCTCCCAGCCGAGATGGAGACCTTGCATCTCGCAGGCGGCGATGTAGCCTAGAATGTTAAACCAAGAATTTGGGGTTAACTGCCACACGCCTAGGCCATAACCTCGCAGGATAGCCTTGATTGCGTCATGGAAGGGAAAGCGGAGACCGGCTAGGAAGGTTGCCTCATAGCAGCCAAAAGAAAGGTTGGCATTTGGTTAGTCATCTTCCCAGGAAATGGTCCCCAATTCAGGCGGCACTCGGATGACATATCCTTTGCCAAGAGGATGCTTGAATTTGAAGGCCTCCAGGTGCTTCTCTATGTTCGCCCTGTCTCTAGCAGAGACATGGATCCGGAAGGGATCCCCCTCATTATTCCATTTTAATCTTTCCTCCTCCTCACTATCCTCAACCGGTGATAGTGAGCTGCTGCTCTCTTCAGACCTAGACATAGAGGCGGTCTCACCCCCCGTCTCTTTCAAGAACAGCTTCATCCGCCTCCTCAGAGCAAGACACAGAGGCGGCTTCTTCACCGTCTCCTCCCTCTGACCAAAGGATCCCGTCACTAGGAGTGCTAGCCGTCCATCTAGTCCGAGCCATAGTATCCTGCACAGACAGGGAGACGGTCGGATTTACAGATGAACAAGAGTGATCCAAGCACCTAGAGGCGGCACCCCTAGTCCTAAACTTAGTCGTACCAGAGGACCGGCTGCCCTCTAAACTATGTTGTGCCGTGTGTGCTGTTGGTGAATCCATTTATTGAATGATATGTACACAAACGGAAATATATGAAAGAGTTGAGAAGGGGAGAGACGGTACCTCAACGATGAGCTGGAAAGTAATCAAGCGTTGACCGGCTGAACTAGCAATCAGAAATCAGAAAATTGCTTGCAAAAGGCTCACAAGGTTGACCGGATGTACCCCCTTGGAAAATGGAGAATTGTTTGCAAACCCCAAAGACGGTACTTAGAAATTTTTCTATCTGTCAAAGGCACAGACGTTTTACCGGCTGTAACCCCTTGGAAAGCAAGAGAATTGTCTGACAGATACTTAGACAGTTCAGATGATCCCCCGTTTTAGGAAAATGCAGGCGATAGCCCGGCTGTGTCTAACAGAAAATGAAGGCAATTGCTAGAAGGATGCGGTTGTCAGACGTTTTCTCTCTAAAAACGGTTGACTCTTTCTAATTTTGGAAATGACCAAAAATGGGAGGGGTAAAAAATCTATTTATAGGAGGGTAATTCAGGGGTGTTCCTGTACTTCTCCCAGAAGATGAACAGTTAAAACTGTTCACCAGTATCCTAGTGACAAGTGTCATAGGTGCCACGTGGCACGCCACGTCACACCTGTGAGGGGCAAATGTTTTGGGTAAAAATACCCAAGGTCACGTGGCCCAATAAAATGGTGAAACGTGTCACCTTAAGAGAGGTTCAAAATGAACCAATCCTCTGCCTACACGTGGCATCCCCAATTATTGGAAAAAAGGCGGCCTTCAAGGTCTAGCTCCCGAGATAGCCCACCATTCCTAGGTTTCCGTAACCTAAGATTGCGGCATGCATCCCATGACACTATAAATAGGGAGATATTCCCACCTGGGGACATATTCAAAAATATTCACCAAAAACAGAGAAATCATTAATGGCAGATATTTACCTCTTACCCCATAGAATACCCTCAATCTCGGAATTCGAGAAGATACTTTACTTTCCGCACTTTTACAGACTCTATACACGTTCTAACTTGACCGTCGGAGGCGGAACTCCACTTAACCGGAGTCTCCGTTGTTTTGCAGGTACAGGTGCTCTGAATCCAGTCTTGGAGTTGTAACTCTCCCGAAGGACACGGAAAACCCCGAAACTAGTACTAAACACAACACTGTCCAACAACAATCTTTCTCTAATGCACCACTTGTAATTAAAAAGCCATCACCTACTCCTTTACATTCCTTAAGTGTTTCAAATAGCTCAGCTTTAATCCTTCACAAAGTACCTAAGACCACGGCAAGGAAGAGGGGCTTACTTAACACCCAAAGAGAGATTGATGCTATGGTTGTCACAGAGGAGAAGTTTAATGCAGTAGTTAGGTGTAGGCACGCTAGTGTAGATCAACATGATGATGAAAATAGGCAGCCTATCAATGTTTATGAGCGGGGTGAAACTAGTACAGTTGTACATGATAGGAATGAGAATGGTGATGGTATGACTGAAGATAATAATGTTGACAGAGAAAATGATGATGAATATGAGGATGATGAAGAAATGGGGAACATATATGACACTTATGATCCATATATGTCTGATATGCGGTAGAGGGATTTAGATGATGATGATAGCTACTTTAGTAGGATGTATAAAAATGGTGACTTTGTAACTAATGCTGAATTTGGGAACATTGTTCTTAAGCCTCGGATGATATTTAGTGATAAGCAACATTTTTTGTCAGTATTTACAAATTACTGCATACAATGTGGTTTTGCAGTAGTAGTTGATAGGAGTAGTCCAAAGAGGTTCACTGCTTCTTGTCTTGATTTAAATTGTGAATGGAGAATTCATTCAAGCAGGCTAGTAGATGGAGTTACTTGGGCTATTAAGAGCATTAAAAACTTTGAACACACTTGTAGAGGTCTTGATGAGAGGAATCCTTTGGTGAATGTAAAATGGGCAGCAGAAAAACTCATGGAAGATATCAGAGCAAATAATGACATATCTGGAAAGACATTAAATGAACTTCTTTGGAGTAGATACGTAGTTAAGATGGCAACAAGTACCCTATATAAGACGAAAGGGGTAGCTTTGAGGGAAATTAATGGAGGTCATGACAGTTCATATGGATATTTGCCCAAGTATTGTGAGATGGTGAAAACTACCAATCCAAGATCAGCAGCCTTTTGTGCATGGACACCAGTTAATCAGCCAATTGTTACGCCTATGTTCTCTAGAATTTTCATTTCCTTTAAGGGTGCTATTGATGGTCTTGCTAAAGGGTGTAGGAGCCTAATTGGGGTTGACGGAGCTCACTTGGAAGGAAATTTTGGTGGGGTGCTTTTGTCTGCAGTAGCCTTAGATGAAAATAATGAATTGTTTCCATTTGCATGGGCTATAGTATCTAGGAAGATGGTGATAGTTGGAGGTTTTTTTTCTAGCACTTGGAAGAAATTCTGGTAAAATATGGGAGAGGTAATGACTGGTGTATTATTTCAGACAGACAAAAAGTAAGTAACAGTGTTTTTTTTGCTTTACCGTATGAGTTTAGTGTTAAATTCCTTAAAACAACTAATCTTATAACTTTCATTGATATGTAGGGAATAGATGTTGCATTAACTGATCTATGGCCAGAAGTCGATAGGAGATATTGTTCTAAGCATTTGGTGAAAATTTGGAAGAGTTCATTTCCCGGACCATTAATGTATTCATTGTTTTGGCTAGCTTGTAGTGCCACTTCACTAGGCGAAAAAACGAATTCCCCACCGGTTCAAACCCCCCTTTTTGCACCGGTTTTGAACCGGGCCGGATTTGGGGGGTGCTAAAACCCCATAGATTTCGCAGCGGTTCAAAACCGGTGCGAAATAAAACTTTTCGCACCGGTTTTGGGTGGAAACCGGTGCGAAAAACCACACTTTTTGCATCGGTTTTGACTTAGAACCGGTGCCAAAAGTCCCCAAAATTATTATATAAAAAAATTTTAGCACCGGCTTTTTCCAAAACCGGTGCCAAAAATGCCCAAAATGCAATTTTTTTTTTTTTTTTTGCATTTTGTTCACTTAAATTGTACCAAATACTTATATATAATCATAAAATACATAAAACACATATATTTTCTTCATTAACTTGTAATATTACACTTTAAAAAACTAAAGAAAAAAAAATACAGAATCAAGGTCTGGAGAAGATGTTGCTGGCTACTGCTTTCTGTTTTTGGCTACCTGCTCTTTCAGCTGCTGTGATGTTACTGTTGGTTGTTGGCCTGGTTTTGCAAAAGCATGTTGGCTATCTGTTGGTTGTTAGCTGTTGTCGGGTAGTGTTGTGCCTGCCTAGTGCTGCTGTTTTACCTGTCAAAGCGAGTTATAGAAACAAAATTGTAAAAAAAAATTATAAGATGTCACGTTCCATGTCCTTAATAATATAACCTATCATCATCATCTTCATCAACCATCCTTTCTAACAAAACTACAGTAACAATAGCTAAAACCTGCACATAATTAAAACAACATATACAACAGATCCAATGCAAGACAGAACTAGGCATGAGGTTGATCAAATAGCTTGTAGCATGTATACTTTATAATATCTCTGGCCAACAAGTGCCATAAAGAAGTTATAGTAACTCTCGAGTTTGGAGGAATGATGTTAACTTGGAGCAATGATGTTGGTTCTTCTGATACATTTAAACTGTTGGGTTTACTATATCTGGGTAACCTGTTAACTATCTTTAAGGACTGGTATACCACTACCACTCTAAATCAACCAAACTAATCTCTAAAACAATCCTAAACTAAATAAAGGACAGACAGCAGTACCAAATACACCAAGGAAAGCATACGACCGTGCTCACAAGGGAAAGATTATGTTTTTTGGGCATACACATGCATATGCAAACAAAGCAACTAATGAAAAAAATCAAAGTGAAGCCACAAAATCAGAGTCTTAGAGAATCCAAGTAGTGGCTATAACAGGAGACCCTTTTAGGTAGATTATCAATTCTTTTAAGCTATTATATGAAGAATCATTTGACTAGGTTGAGCAAAGTCTATGAAATGCTTACTAATATCCAACAGAGAAGTATAATCCAGAATTTAGGAATCTCTTCTTGCAAATGAAATTTCCTCATAGTATACAAGATAAAATCATCTCAATATATGGCATGTGCACACTGTCATTAAGTAAACTGGAACCTTCAAACCCAATTTATTTTACAAGCAAAGAAAAATAACTCTCCAAGTTAACATATACCATAAAACGTATAAAATGGTCTGTAACAAACTAATCATATCCAATTAGTAGTGTCAACTTACCACAAACATTGATATTTGTGTAGAAGAGCCATTAGCCCCTTCAATATAGATCAAGACTTTAGTTAGTTTGCTGCTTATTTTCCTTTACTAGCCAAGGTTGATTTCCTTCTAGATATAACCTCAGCAGCCTTGCTTTTTCCTAATTCAGTCTGAAACTTTCCTAAAAACTGAATATGAAAAGGGAATTTTATTATGGTTCATATAATATTTATTGATGCTATAAGCATGAGGAAGGAGCTATTTAAGTGTCTTAGTACACAAGAATAGACTATATTGCGGTGCTTATGTGCACTTAAGGTGTTTCTAACACCGAGGGATATGATTTGCGGCGCATTATGCGTTTAAGGTGTCTTTGACACTGAGGTAGATTAAAAAGGGTTCAACTATTAAATTTATGTAGTCATTAATTGTTCAAGAATTAAATTGGTATGTTTGATTGCTTGAATGAATTATAATGTTTGATTGTGTTATGATCTGAGAGTCATCACCAAGTATAATAATATGTAAACAACGTAAGTGAAAGAGATTACACACCAAAACTCTTGGAACGTATATTCCTTGAATATGAACATATGGGGGAAGTTATGGGGTTTTATATTTAACCATGACTTCTACTGGGAGTACAGGACGCTGTATTTTCCTTTTTATTTATCTTATGCGCAGGACGTCCAGTCACTTCATGTGACATTTGCCTACTCGGTTAGCTCCCGGTGTAGTTTACCTCAATTTATTTGAGGCAGGGATTTCGTTGGAAACACGTTCGATGTGTAATCAAAATTAAATGAACATTGGTATTTGTCTAGTTAAGTGTTTTGTATGCTTGTAAACAGGTAGTACACAGTAAGTTGTGTGATGATAGGATGGAGGCATGTTAATGTGTTTTTATTACGCTTATGTACTCAGCATTACTGATTGTGTGTTTGTATATTTGTTTGCCCTTGTCTTTACCTTGGCCTTACGACGACCCATTTCTAATGGCGAGTAGTGGGGACAAGTAGAGAGAAGCTTTACAGGTGGTGAAGCATATCCATGATGGGCATGAGTGAAAAACGAATCATACTTAGTTCTCATTGGAATATGATGTGTTTTATTTGTTTTGAATATTATTTATTTTATTCAGTTCATGATACTAACCTTAAGTTTTTTTAATATTGTTTGGTTTTAAGGACCTACAATGGTTCCAAGTTGTAGTTTGACTTTTACTTTCGTATGGTTTGACTTTTTAATTTGACTTGTTTTTAAATGGTTTTAAAGATGATCTTCTGCTGTGTGTGTCTTTGATATTTGCCTTAGCCGTTTTTACGGTGGCGGTAATGTCTTTAGATTTTCCTATTTCGTATTTTAAAAAGGGCAAAATAGGTATTTTAGAGGAAAGAAATTTCTAGAGTGTTACAGATTATGGACCAAAATAGACTGGTTTGGATGTTTTAATAAATTGGACAAAAAATGAATGATTTTGAGGGACATGAAATGAATGATTTTGGGTTTAAAGGCACAAAATAAATGATTTTGGATTAAAACTCTTTAGAAAAGGTTAGAAATGGTCAAGGATAAAGGGAAATTCACGAAACTCTTCAACTCTTCGCCTAACTCGATAATCAAAGACATGAAATGTACTCATGACTGGGCTTGGTTTTTGGGGAGACACAATCAGGTGTCTACACATGCCTTGCACTTATATGTACTTAGTGTTTTTTCTAATCTATTTTCCTTTTTCTTTTTGGTTCGCCCTGTTTACCATTATTGGTAAGCAATTTTGATTTCAGGTGTGGAGTCGTTCATGCGCATGCTTGAGTCGAGACTGGGATCACATAGTTAGGAATTTACTATTTCATGAGTCAAACGAGTTTTTAATTTGAGTATTTGAAGCAATAATTATAGTTATTCATATTATTAATAAAAGTCAGTTATTTTCCGCTGCTATCTTTGAGTAATTAAATAAGCCTTACGTTTTCACGTGTCGATAATACACCCAAATCTATCTCTACGGCATTTGTATACGTATAAATATATTATTTACGTAGAGGGAGATTTGGGGGTATTACACGGTATGACCAGCCATATATAAAAATTTGCCTATTTATTACTGTCTTCATCCACATATAACTTCCCAATATTCCTTTTTAGAAAGTCCACAAAAAATTTCTTTACTTTAAAACTCAACCCGGCCATGTGATATGGACTCCTCTGCTAAGTATCTTTCTCTCAAATCCTCACCCCACCTTACTAAAGTACTAAGTTCTTCAAAATTAATGCATATAAAATCTAAAAACATGATTATTAATGGACAAAAGGAGTATACTAGTACATCAAAAAAAAAAAAAGGGTCAAATTTAGACATTTAGTGCCCCTCTATTTCCAAATAAAAGATCTAATTTGACTGACATACTTGTCAACATGAAGTTTGACCAATAATTTATTTAATTATCAATCAGTGTAAATAATTTCAGAAACTATACATTGAAACGATTCTAACAAGTATCTATGATCATGTTTTATTTTATGTATAAAACACAAATATTATTAGTTAAAGTGATGTATGTGAAATAGTGTAAAAATCAATTTGGAGTACTTAGTTTGAAACAAATGGAGTATAAAAATAGTGCATAACTCACAGTAATTCACTTTATAATAAACTAAAGGATTACATAAGTACATTGTACCCAAACAATATATATGAAACTTGCAAAAGCAACATAATGATGAAATTTACTATCAAAAAAATTAAACTTATTTCTACACATTAAATGATTTGCTATTTTTTTTTAATAAAATAAAGGAGTTTACAAATTTCGAAGATTATGTGTTATATTGATTGATTGATTGCAACATAGAGGACTTACACTTCTTAAATCAAAATTTTACTTTGGTGAGACTAAAAAAAGAAATATTAAGAATTCCCAATTTTGTACAACTATGGGAACTTATTAAGAATGCTTATCCATATATCATAATAACCCAATTTTGTACATATATCATCATAACCCAAATAAATAAATAAAAAATCTTTGAATATTTTGTTTTTGTTATTGGGAACTTATAAATTATGATATTGTGCGAGGCAAAATGAATGGATTTTCTAATATGAAAATGTCCCAACAAAGAGACGATAAGAATCTATATTGACGGAGCAAGAAGCCCATAGTTCAGTGGAGCTAAGCTTCGATTCATGTGGTAGTGTCCAGGGTTCGAGGGTCATGTCCCCCCCTCCCCCTGTGGGTAATACCCCTTGATATTCCTGTGATAGAAAATCAACATGGGGCCCACCCCTTACCCCCTTAAGTAAAATAAAAAATAAAAAATAAAAAAGAATCTATGTTGACATTGTGAGAAGTGGAGGGGGATGAAATAAAGACCCCTTCTCTTCAAATCTTTTATTGTTGGTTCATTAAACCGAGTTAGTAATGCTGCCACATTTAGAAAATGGGCTACATAGTAACTGTTTCACATTACAAAGAGAAAGTGCATTAATGACGGGAAATCCCGTTGTAAGCCCGTCATAAAAGATAAGTGCATTAATGAAATGATTTCCCGTCGCGAGTCCATCCTAGAAAGGGACCATCGTAGAACATTTTTCCCATCTCGATCTCGTCGCAAAAGCCAATTGCGACAGGTAAGAATTCCACTAGTATGAGAGAAGAAGACGAAGAAATGAAATGAAATGAAGGAGAGAGAAAATTGGATGGGGTGTTTATTATAAACAAGTTCAATGATATATTTGGATTGAAATTTAACTTGGGTAAGGTTTTATGACAAGCCTAAAATCATGTCATTAAAAGCCTTATCAGGACGGGCTTTAAGCCCGTCATTAATAGGTTGTCATTATTGGGCTTTTTGGGATGTACCTAAATAGTGTTAGTGTTTGGTGCATTATGATAAGCATTGGTTTGCTCTGGGTTTGAGTCGTATTGTCTTCGAGCCTTAAGTGTATGAGTAGCCATCCCTGAAACGGCAAAAGTAGACGAAAATATGTATAGGGGATCTCTTTCCAATATCATATCTCTTTATAATATCCATATTGCTTTCATCTAGTAATGAATCTAGTCTTCAATAGGTTTACACAGAATTAGGAGTAATTGTGTACACATGACTAAGCTAAGGATGCAACGGGCTGAGGCAACCAAGTTAATGGTTAACAGGATCGTGAGTATTTGAGCTAAAAGCACATCAATGCATTAGGTAAAGCTATAAGGGGTGTGTATGGTCGCTGCTGCTTGAGGAAGGAGCAGTGGTACAGCCCAGTGGAAGAGAGGTGTGTGTGTTTTAGTCAATCTTAGTAGAGCATTGAGATCCTAGAATCCCTGAGATCAATGAGATAGTTCAGCAATAACTTATCAAACCTATACATATTTTGAGTGCAAACAATCTAATTTTTGGGATTCGTCAAACTTGATACACTGTTGCAATACAAAAATCATTACTATATGCAAAGAGGCGGATTAAAACACATGGAGAACCAAAACAAGGCTCAACATAAAAGCAGTACACAACGCCAAGTTTCCAATAATAAAGAGGAAGCTACATCTACAAGACGTGGGTGGTAGGCGTGTACACCTTGAAAAAAATACTGGACCTCCCCCTTCCTTGGCCTTAATTCAGCCCTCTTGCATTGCAGAGCAAATTTGAGTGTCTGATATAGTTTCCCACCCAATTGTACAATAGCATATTCAAAAGGTAACTAGATGTTCTGAACTTCTAAACAGGCCTATATGTTCACAACTCAGGCAAGTCCAAATTAAGCCAATTGCTGTCTTTTTGCCCATCAGCCCGCAACACATCCATTAACCTCTGCCAACGAAATTCCTTGACGAGGGCTTACCTCTACGACCTCGAGTTTTACCACCACTCTTTCTCTCAGGAACAGCATTTGTCTCAACTCCAGGCTCTGATTTTCGATTTTTGTGAATGATCTTCAATGCTAATGATTTCAGAGGCATGGTTATGTCTAATGGCTGAAGAACCTCCTGCAACTCATGCCACTCAAGATCTTCAAAATCACCATCCTCGTAGACAACTCTGTACCAGCCGGTTTCTTTATCAAATTCAGTCACTTTACCCAAATAATATTTCTGATCAAACAATTTTTGCACTTTTCTTCCCTCTAGCCATTCACCAAAACCTGTATATCTAGGCTTACTGACACCAGAAGCAGATTTGTCGAGTTTTACTGTCCTTGGAGTTCCCTCTGCTGGATCGGTGCCTTGATTTATATTCCCATCCTCCACAGATAAATCAGGAACACCGTTAATCACCACTGCTGGTTCTCCAGGCAACTCATAAATGCCAGCTGACAGAGACTCAAAGTTGCTATCACATATTCCTTCCATTAAAGAAAATAATTCAAAGACTTAAGTGGAACTACAAGAAGTAGCATAAACAATTAATAGAGTAACCAACGGAGCAAATGAGAATTCTGAGGGGTGTTTGCTTTGTATTGTTACGCTTTGGAGTTTGCACAAGATTTTGAATCAGACAGACTGCGACAGATGCAAGAAACAATAATAAGTCAGCAGAAGTTGAATCAGATCGTCTCGTAAATATAACGCTGAGACGAATTGATAGGACAATACAGATAATAATTTCTATGGACTACAATCAAGAAAACAAGGTAACATAAGCATTTAATTTGAGAAACAAATATGTGAATTCACTGAAGTGCCACTCTAGTATGATCTATAATGGTAGCAATTAACCCATACAAGGTACAATAACAATACCAAAGCCTTAATTCTCAAGTACCATGAACATATGATTCAAGAAAAACAGATAATTTCAATATATCTTCTTTGACTGGAATGAAATGGTAAAATGACTGAAATCGTGACATAAATTTCACTCAAATAGGATAATCATATCATTTGGTCTGGACTTCAATTTGCTGAAATGGTGAATTTGAGCCACCCAAAACCACCCTCACCCACCTCGAAACCGCCTTACACCCACTCAAAACCCGCCCCAAACAACCAGGAAAAACCCCATACCCATTTAAAACCAACAACATCCACCAAAAAAACCCTAACCCTAAAAATCAGGAAAACTAAAAATATGTAAAAAATCGTAAGTAAAAATGAGAACAAACCTTTTCAGAGATCAATTGAGCTTTACATGACCAAATTAGAGCATCCAGTTGAATTTGTCATTTAAAATTCAAATATTAGCATGGTAGTGGTAGAGAGAGAGAGGGCGGCAGTGTCGCTGCAGGAAGGGTCGGTGACGATGGTGGGGAGTGAATATGGAGGAGAAAAGGCAGTTTGACGAGTGGTGAATTGGTGATTGGTAAAATTGGTGGCGGATCTAAAAATTTCCCCAAAGTAAGCCTACAACAAAAATTATTTTGCAAAATGGTTGCGTGGCAAAAGTATTTACCAAACCAAATTTGTAGGGTAAAACGCTTGGACAACGTTTTATCCCCAGGATTTTTAAAAAAAATATTCAATTTATAAAACGCTGTCCCAGACAGCCTTTTAACGTTTGACTTTTTTTTAAAAAATTTTAAAAATTCTTATTTTCTGTTTATTTTGTGGGAAAAATCAAATGCACATAAGACGCTGTCTGGGACATCGTTTTATGTACAAAATATTTGTTGCACATAAAACGCTGTCTGAGGCAGCGTCTTATGTGCAAATTTTTAGTTGTACATAAACCGCTGTCTGAGACAGCGTTTTATGTACAATTTTTTTTGTACATAAACCGCTGTCTAAGACAACGATTTTCTGCTGGACTGCAACACCAGCAACCAACAGCCTTTCTTCTCTTTAATCTGCCCTATTTCTGCCTCCAACACACCACCCCCAGCCTTCAGTAAGCTACCACCCTCAACCACCACATTAACCACCACGGGTCATCGCTTTTACCTCGTTTCTCATTATGGAGCCCAAATGTCTTGTGTTTGATATATATCAGCCTATAAGGATCTACTCTGACGAACATAAGTCCGATTTGGACAAATAAGGAAAGTAAACTTCAAATGATACACAAATTCATTCAAAAAACATTTTTTATATTAATAATATAAGTGTTATATACAGGATTCTAGAAAAGCCGAGTACAACAAATAAATCAGCTAACACTATCCCGACTCATTTATTGGGGTTAACGGTTCGCTATCCTGTCTATCGGCCCTCCGTCTGACATTACGCTGCGTGTAATGAGTAATGGTGGTGAATGGGTCTCGGCGCGGTGGGGGAGTCTGCTGGCTGGACGATGGACCCTCCTAGGTGGGGGTGGGCGCAGAACTGTGGATGATGTAATCCTCTGCGTCTGTGAGTATCGTAGGATCACCTCCACCGCTACTCTGGCTGGGGTCGAACTGTGCCTGGAAAGAGGATCCACTGTCTTGACCGTCCCGCTGGTGGATGAGATAACCGTGACCATGTCTCTGTAAGGAAGTCACGGACATATCTCGCATCCGCTCGACCTGGGCTCGGGTGGGTCCGTCTGCAAGGGCGAGTGACAGTGCATTAAATATCGACACCATATCCGCCGCCTGCAGTAATCATCGGTTAGTCAGTTACATGATATATAAAAAAATAAAAAATGAGGACGATAAGTACAATAAAAGCAACTCACATATCCGTGAATGACGTCATGTGCTGGCTGGTAATGTGTGGACGGTGGTGTGTAGCTGGGGTTGATGAAACGGAGTGTAATACGCCTGTACCACACCATGTACGAATCGTGAGGATCCATATCGCCCTGCATCGGGTCACCGCCAACGACGAACTCCAGCCGTTGCTGCCATAGCTCAAGGAAACGTCAATGCTCCAATGCCCAATTCGTCTCCCCCATTCCCCGACAACGGTCAATGCCGTGAAGGCGTACACTAATGTCACATTGCTAGAGAACAGGCTGGCGCAGTTGGAACTGTCGCATGACGCGATCGGGTAGGTGACTCCACGACCTCGAAACAAAATCAGGGGGACTCTGGCACGCCACTCTGCCTGATGATCCAGTAGATGTGCAGGCATGACATCTACCATTTAGCAAAATTGCCTTTGTTTGGGAAAACCCTTTTGTTTATTTTATTTTTTATTTTTTTTTTTGACTCAGAAATTGAGATTTAGGCATTGTTTGATTGACATTATAGAATGGGGTAATCGGAAATTTATGGGAATTGAAAAGGAGGGTGATTGTTTGGTTGACACAAAAAACAAAAATGGGGTAAGTAAGAATTCATAGGAATTTCAATTAAACCAAAATTTATGGGAATTTCAATTTCCTTTATGGCCTTTGGTATTGAATATTTCATTTGAAATGATGGATTTAGCCCAATTCATATTTTTGGAAATACCAAGTATTTACATTTGGATTTGATTCAAATTCTAGCCTTTACCATTTTATATTTAGCCCATAGGATTTGAAATCCATACCCAAAGGTAGTCATTTCAAATCCAAAATTTGCTCTCCCCGACTCTCTCTCCTCCTCTCAGCCACCATTAAATGCTTAAGCAAGCTTAACTTTACGGTCCTTCCTTAAAATCTTTCCTCCTTAAAACCTATATGTCATTCTATTATCTTTATCATTTTTCTTTGCAATTTACTTAATTTAGATAAATGAGAAATTGAGATGTTTCAATCATTTGTAATTTTTTTTAAATTTTTTTTACGAATTCGATCTTAATTAACGGTATCTTCGCCCAAATTTATTTCAATATCTTCCAGTTAATTGTTATGAATCGGTAATGAAGGGTTTATTTCATGCATATTTAAACAATTTTAAGGTTTTTTTTTGAGTCATCATTAGCAATCTAATATATATATATAAATAAAATATATATATATATATATATATATATATAAAGGGGAGTTTTTTCCTGAGTTTTTAGAGCACCACGTAGGATTAATAATTTTAAAACGCTACAATAGTATTATGCCACGTAAGATTAATTTTAGAACATCACATAGGATAATGTTATATTTTAGCCAATGAAAAAAAGAATTGCAATTTATTTTACATCAAAAATTTTATATTAATTGTAAAAATAAAATCAGCGCGTTTTTTATGTTGCTGGCCATATCGTGTGGCCGGCTGAAACACACTCAAACACTGACCGAGTAACCCATGATCATCCGAGTAACCCCTGATCGATTGAGTAGCCCTTGACCAACCAAATAACTTCTGACCAAGTAATCCCGACCAAACGGTGTGACTTGCCACATATGAAACTTTGTGAAATAAAATATTATCTTTTTATATTATAAATTTTATCTAAATATGAGAAACAAAGTTAATAATATATTTTATAATAAAAAAAATTCAAGTAGTAAGCATGCTAATATCACAAAGTTTATTAGATATATTTATGTTTAGTAAAATATTTTATTTGAAAAAATACAAACAAACCATGCATCGCACGAGTTTCATCTAGTTTAATTTAATTTAGAGTTGTAGGTTTTCTATGGGTCTTTTGCATAGACGATCGAGTAGTATTGCGGCAACATTATTGATTACCCATAGAATTTGAATTTTTATATTTAAAATTCTTATGTTACCCAAATAAAAATTTAGAATTTAAAACCCATCATTTCAATTCCAGAAATTCAATTCAGTTATTTGAAATGAATTCCTTGTTTCCAAACGCAACCTTAAGGAATTAATTTCCCATGAAATACAAGTTACTATGGAAATTAAATTCCCATATCAACCAAACAATACCTTTTTTTTTTTTTTTTTTTTTTTTTTTACAATAGAGTATTTTTTTACTCGTATAAAGAAAGTTGGGGCAATAGTAATACAACAAACCACGATATATACAAAGTATTAGTGAGTATTGTTTTGTTCATGTTTATATAACTAAGTTAAGAATTTCAATGTCAAAGTAAAAAAAAAAAAAAAAAAAAAAAGTAAGTTTAGAATTTGGAAGAATAGGAAAACCTAGTAATTTAATTTAATCTACACTAGTATATTAAAACAATAAGTTGAAAGGACACGTGTTCACTTTCTGTTTTTCTTGATTTTTTCTTTTCTTTTTTTTTTTTTTTTTTTGGTTTATCCTAAATTTTTTATTTCTAAACAACACTTCTTTGTTTCAGTCAATTCCCTTTTGTTTCTCTGTTGTTCAAGCTAAGATTCTCGAACGACGCTATTCTTTTTTTAGTTTCTCCATTCAATATTTATAAATAACTAGTATTCAGCCTGTGCGATGCACGGGTTAAACTTACATTGAATTATTATTGAAAGAGAAAAATGTGATAAAATTACAACACCAAATTATAGTGATAGAAGTTAATACAAAAGTTAAGCACAAATTGTGAATTTAAAGTTGCCTATCTGAAAGTCTAACTAGCTAATACAAGAGGGGGGTGAATTGTGTTTGAGGTGAAGTCTAAAAACTTTTGCGGATTTTAACTAAATGAAACAATGACAAGAGAAGATATAGGCTTTTCCAAATTTCCACTATGTAATCAAACTCTTTACAAGTAAAAATTCAAACCCATTAACAAGTTCCACAAATTAGGAACTTGTTCCCAACTCTCTCAGAAGACTTCAGCAACGAAGCTTCCTTAACCTCACCTTAAAAAAACTCACAATCCCAAACCCCAAAGTACTTGAATACGATCTGTAATTACAAATACCTATTACACTCAAGAATATATGAAGGTTAAGAACTATCGTTATGTTATAAGATTACTACTGGAATTTTAATGCTCAAGAGTTGTAAGTTTCTGAGATAGTTTGCATGAGTATTTATAGAGAAGACTTAGTCATTAACCTCCCACTATTATCACGTACACATGTCAACACCCCACTAACAACTTGTGGAGTAATCGTGACAGATGGTGATCATGAAGGAGGTTTCCTTGCCTTGCTTACTAATCCACTATCTCAACAACTTGCTAAATATTTGCTTTGACAAAACCGTATAATGAGAGATTCATGCAACAATAAAACTGCTTGTTGACTTTGTCAAAAGTTTGTTTAAAAAGATTTTATTTTAAAAGGATTTTATTTGAAAAAAAGATAATTTATAAATTAATTATTTATTTAAAACAACTAAGATAATTATCTAAGATTAATTATCTTTATTTGAACATAATAAGCTAGATAAAAATATTTATAAATTATCTTTTCTTAAAATTATTTTTAACGTAAATCTTTTAAAACTAATTTTTATTCTAGTAGTCATAAGTCATTGAGTTCCTTCCCAGCTTTATATTATTGAGTGCTCACAATTAAAACTAGAACGTGAGATTTGCATGAGGCTTTTTAGAGAATGCTACTCCGCATCCAAGTTCCTACTCCGGAACGAACTTTGCTTGAACCCTTTATTCACCAAAGACTCAAAACGCTCATTAGTCGAGTTT